CATGTAGCTTCTAAACTACTTAAGTCCAAGTATTATAGATGCCAAAAACTCAGATTCACAGCATGGGGGAGAGGTTGTTTTTTTTTTTTTTTTTTTTTGTTTTTCTCCGGTACCGGGGACCGAACTCACGACCTTGCGCTTGCCAGGCAGGCGCTTGAGAGGTTGTTTTTTGTTTTGTTTTGTTTTTTTGTCTTTTGGAGACAGGGTCTCGCTATGCAGTTCAGGCTGGCCTTGAGCTCACTTTGTAGCCCAGGCTGGTCTTGAACTCACAACGATCTTCCTGCCTCAGCCTCCCAAGTGCTGGGATTACAGGTGTGTGCCACCATGCCCGGCTCATAGCATGGGTTTTGTTTGACCTAAAGTAACAGAGTACATGAAGACTCAGGTAGGCTACCAACCAGTTTGGGTTTGATGGACTTTCCAGGACTTTTAACAGCTAGCACCAAGCAAATTGTAAGTACTGGTCAACGTACAAAAATTTCAGTATTACATTTTGAGAATACTTTTTGGGAATACCATTTTTTATCATCATGTTCATATAATGAAATTGAGTTTAAGTTTGTTCAGATTATGAGATAGTGCTACTTTGCTGGTAAATTTCTTAATAGGCAGTTAAGAAGTAGTACTAGTAGTATTTCTTCTAAGCCAAAAGAGAAAAAGGATCTTTATTTGGGTGTATGATAATAAGATAGGTAATTTTGGATAAGGAATAGGATAGATGGGCTCTGGGAATGAATGAAATGAAGCAGATACCACAATTTGATAGATGGAGCTAGCAGGCTTCCTTGTTTATAGAGGAGGGCAGGTACATTAAGGCAAGGTGGTCAAGATGTGAAGAAGATTTCAAAGTGAGTTCACTACATAGTGAGTTCAAAGCCAACCTGAACTGCAAAATGAAGAGATTTTTTTAAAAAAAGGAAAAGTATGTAAGAAGTATAAGTAAAAAAAGATACAAAGATGTCCCCCCATCAGCATGTAGAAGGTTAATACGTTTCTCTTTTTATTAAGAGTAGAGCAAAATATTAATCACGGACTTTTTTAATACCCATAACTCATCACAAAGAATAAAACACCTGGTTCTACCATTTAGGTAATTTAAGAAATAAGAGGGGCTGGGGATTTAGCTCAGCGGCACAGTGCCTGCCTGGAAAGCGCAAGGTTGTGAGTTCGATTCCCAGTACCCAAGAAAAAAAAAAACAAAAAAAAAAAAACAAAAACATACTTGCTTGGTGTGCAAGAGGCCTTGGGTTCAATCCCTACTACGACAAAAAAAAAAAAAAAAAAAAAAAAAAAATCAAAATTGAGACAAG